TCTCTCAGGCCTTACTCTCTCCCTTCCAGAGCACTGTTTCTGAGGCAGAGTCTTATTGCTGGGCCTAATGGGTTTTCTTCTTCCAGAGCATTCCCGTTAAGATCGCTTCCATAAAGACATGACCACACAGGTAAATAAAAACACAGCGTTAATTAAACTAATCACTAGCTTGATATTTTTTTAGATTGCTCATATGTAATGTTAATTATTCTTTCTTTCTAGTACGGTATTCTCTTCAAGCAAGAGCAAGGTGAGAAAACATTAACGTGTATTAAATAATGTTGGTCTTCTTGGATGATGTAAAGTTGCTAATAGCAGATATACTTGGGAGATGACCTGGATTGTGTTTCTGTTAAGTATAAATCTGAATAATTGCACAATAGCTATGCCGTTTCTTCAACAGTGACCTTGGTGCACAAAATACATTGTGTTTTTTGAAACAATAAAAACAGTGACAAGGCTCTCAGAGCACTGATAGGCCTGAAGGCCAAGGTGTCTAATGCCAACATTACAATCAGCAATTTTAGCATTGAGTAGTTGCCTTCCACTTAGTTTTCAATTTCTATGCTTATGTTTTCTTTTAGCTCATGATGATGCCATTTGGTCAGTTGCCTGGGGAAAAAATAAAAAGGATGGTTCTGAAACAGTGATCTCTGGTTCTCTGGATGATCTAGTAAAGGTCTGGAAGTGGTAAGTGAAGTGCTCCATATTAACCGGTTTTAAGACTTGGAAGTAGTCAGTGTGGACATAGCAGCAGTCTGGAATTTCCATAATCTGTAGGGATGTTAGAAGTTACATCAGGAAAGGGATAGCCTGGCACATGGAACTGCTCTCTTGAGCAAGCTTATCTTCATTGGTGCATGCTTTTTCTTGGAGTGGCAGCGTTCTGATGTGCTTTAATTTTCAAAGAATGTGAAGCCTTTTGAAAACACACCTCAAATTTAACATGTCATCTGTCAGAGAATAGTACAACTTGATATTATTCTAAACCAAAGAATTAGAAATTCAGCTTTTGTGAGACAGTGCATTGGGAGCATGTGTACTGTGAAAGGAATGATGGTAATTGAGTAAAAGGTGAAATGACATCTTCCTTTTTTATTAAAAAAAAATTCTCATAATCCTCATACAAATGACACTGTAGTTTGCTTTTGCAAAGAAATTGTTCTGTCTCTTAGGCAAAGCAGTATTAAGCATGTGCTACACTTCAGTGGCATAAGTAGCACTGTTGTGGTGATCATAAAAATGTTGGTCATTGTGTTTCATGCTGTGCTGACAGATTAACAGTCTGCTGTGTGAGTACCTGTGTATTGATGTGTAATGGACATTTCAGGGCTACTTACAAGCTACTTGGAAAGCACATGTTTTGTCGGTTTGGTTTGTCGGTCCTTTCCCTTAAGGACAGAAAACAATTTGTGCGTAGCTGTCTTCGCATTTCATGGGTGAAGTTGATTCGCCTACTGTTGAACAAAATGGAGAAATGTGGGTTGTTGTGTTTGTTTTGTCTGAGGCTGGAGATGGGTTAAGTACCCTCAGCTATTCCTAACTAGGCTTTTCTTTCCCTGAACAAAAGGAACGATGAAAAACTGGATCTACAGTGGACTTTGGAGGGTCACCAGCTGGGTGTGGTGTCTGTGGACATCAGCCACACAGGCTCCATTGCAGCATCCAGCTCCCTAGATGCCCATATTCGCCTATGGGATTTAGAAACTGGCAAACAAATCAAGTCAATAGATGCTGGTCCTGGTAAGAGCTATATTGAGCTGTCTCTGCATAAGAAGTGTACTTACTCTAGGTAGTAAATACCTTACAGTGTATAATTAGGATATATGAGATGACTAGTTTTTGTTTTTTTTTAAATCTGTGTTTGCAGAAATCTTAGTGACGTTACAAACTCAACATACAGCAGTCAGACAGTTTTACATTTGTTTTTTCACTGTTTACTCTTTCTCAGATACATTTAGATATGTTTTTTGCTAGCTGCATAAAGTAGAATGGAAACCAGCTTGCTCTTACAGATGTATTGATACAAGGATATTTAAAAAACTAACTCACGTTTATTCAGATTGATTTGCAAAGAACGTTTGAACTTTCTTCATAAGCACTGCACTGCATTTGAGCTGTATGTGATACTGACTTATGCAGTGCATAAATGAGTGAACAAGTCAAAATGCAGTAAAGCTGAAGTCTGGATCAATGTTAGGTCCTCCAAGATGGAACTGAGGACCTAAGATCTCATTCTAAGTATTTATTGGGTCCACTGGCAATTCCTAAATTAAGAACAATCTTGCTGCGTTCTAGATAATTAATGTTAAGCTTATAAAAAAAAAAAATCATTACATTGTGGCAGATAAATACATTTTACTGCTGTGAAAAGGTAAGGATTTTTAAAATTCCATTACAAGGAACGTTGATCTATGTTACATTCGAATATCTGCATTTTCCTGCATCTTATGTGCTTTGCTAGATACTAGTGTTGCTTTATTTTACTAGTTTACTATCTTTTGGAACCAGGAGACAATTAAGACTTTAGACTTAACTCACGCAGTCTTAAATGCTAAATGTATTGTTACAGGAGGGTCTAATAAATTACCTCAAGGTCTTATTATAAAATATAACCTTTCACTAAACTTAAACAAATGGTTTAAGCTATGCTCCATTAATTATATAGAATCCTGAGCATGTACAGTCTTAAGAGAATGCAGTAGAGTTTAGGGCATTCAGAGTAGTTAGGGGGTTAAATGTCTAACGAGATGCATACAGAACTGACATTTGTTGAATAAGAACCATCACTAGTCTTCAGCTAACTGATTTTTTTTCTTTTTAATACAGTTGATGCTTGGTCCGTGGCTTTTTCACCCGATTCCCAGTACCTTGCAACAGGAAGTCATGTGGGAAAAGTAAATATTTTTGGTGTTGAAACAGGAAAGAAAGAATATTCTCTGGACACCAGAGGAAAGTTCATCCTTAGCATTGCATATGTAAGAAGCACAGTTGATAATTTCTCATATGAAATTGCTATTGCTCTAACATGTTGTAAATCAGATATTTTTGTTTCCATCTATCAGCTTATGTAATGCTAAATGACAGCCTCACTTTGATAGTTCCAAATATAAACTCTGTGACATTCCCCCTCTGCATATATGGAAAATAGGCTTTGATCTGGCTTATACACATGCTGTGATTAAGTCAGCTGAGGTCTTCAGGATTTTTGGAGCCCAGGTATCGTGCATAAATCGTACTTGTGAAAAGTTGGCTAGAGCACACTGGGGAGGTATATAGCATAAATGCATACAGTTGTTAAATGCATACTTCTGGTGTTTTATTACAGAGTCCAGATGGAAAATACTTGGCCAGTGGGGCGATAGATGGCATTATCAATATTTTTGATATTGCAACTGGAAAACTTCTGCATACGCTAGAAGGTATTGGTTTGTGTATTATTTGCCATACCCAAGTTCTGACTTCAGTCCTCAACAAAATTAAAGGAGATAATGCAAGTCAGAATAAGATACAACAGCCATGACACGAATGAATTGGTGTTTCTGTCCATTAGACAGCAGTTGGTTAGTTAGTGTACTGTAACATCAGCCACTTAAAATACTGGAGGCAAACTGTAAACTCAGGCTTGCATTATAAATGCCTGTCTTGAAAGATACACTCAGTAATGCTTGATGAAATTATTAAATTGCTTTTCCTTCTTGTATTGCAGTTCTCTACAAGGGAATGAAGCTAAGCCAAATAGGTGCTGCCATGCATATTTTTCTTTTTGCTATGGTATCAGTTTTATTACAATCTATTCCCATTTTAAACAGTGACCAAGCATTTTGTGCTGTAGAAAACAGGCATTTTTCTAACAGATAAATAGGCTTTTAATGTTCATCCAGTCTCCCTGCAGTTGTATAGTTAATTAAAACAACCAAACACTTAATATGAAATCGTATTAGAAAATATGATTAGTTTGTAAGAAAGATACACAGCTGAAAATGTAAGCTATTTTGTGTTGCAGTGGACATGCCTTAACATTCAAAATTCAGAATTACTGGAAGTTACAGCGGAAAGAAGTTTGTAGAGGCATAGAGAGAAAGCATATTCAGAGGTTGCTTTTTTTTCAACAGGAATGTTGTTTGTGTGTAGCTTCTTGAGCACTGTCATTAGGAAGAGGAATAGCTACATTCTAAGCCATGTATAACTTTGAATTTCAGGTCATGCGATGCCTATTCGTTCACTGACATTTTCCCCAGATTCTCAATTACTTGTAACTGCTTCCGATGACGGCTATATCAAGATCTATGATGTGTAAGTTGTTATTATGCAAGACACACTAGCAGGAGAATAACTATTCAGAGAGGCTGATGCTATAAAAAGTACCAAACCACAACATACATCAAACCCTCTGCTCTCTACTTACCTTCAGCTTTTGGTGACTTCTTTATGTAAGAAATAATCTTAAATAGTAAAATTCTACACCCTTAGACAGGTTTGAAAAAGCACGTAGGTGGATAACAGCCTTAGCTTGAAAACAAATCACTTTCCTTGTATTTGCCCTGGAGGCAACAGGCAAATTGTTTTTTGTATCTGTCCTGTGTGTTTGTGTTTACTCATCTTAAACATCTATTCTGTACCCAAGAAATTATACTTTATGACCTATTTCTGTTGCATTGTGCACAAACCTGGTAGATGCTTGGGAGGAAAAGGGACTGCTCCAGTGATCTTCACTCCCCTAAATCTTAATTACTTTGCCTTCTTCATGGTGAAACTGTTTCATCCACCAATGTGGACATTCCTTAACATTAACCATTTGAAATGGAAAAACAGAATCTGGTGTTCAGGTCAGATGAACATATGTCCAGAAGTCACCTTCCATGACCCCACACTGAACCATTCCTGACTGCACTAGCTAGAGTATATTCCTGTTGTTTTTTTTTTCCCTGGAATTCACGAAACAAATGTTAAAATTTGTTCTTTCCACAGGCAACATGCAAACTTGGCTGGCACATTAAGTGGTCATGGATCCTGGGTATTAAATGTAGCATTTTGTCCTGATGATACCCATTTTGTTTCCAGGTATTGAGATGTTTAACTTGTTTATGCTTACTGAAAAAAAAAAGTTATGAAAGCAGATGGATCATAAAAAGTAAATGTGTACAGATTACAGTGAAATCTGTAATGGAATAACATACATTACAATTAAAGATTGAAGCCAATCTGTGATGTGATATCTGTTGTAGGGAACAGTATTTTATAGTATAAGTCATCCCACTGCAGTGTAGCTGCGTACATGTGAAGAACATCTAAACATAAGAGAAGGACAATTTGATTCTGAACAGCTGAAAAATTGCTGTGGAATTAAAAAGTACAACTTAATGTAGTAGTACATTAACCTAGTTGGAACTTTGTACTGTTGATTTAAAACAGCACAGGCAGCTGGGGACTTACATGCAGGTATATGTAACAGGAGTTTCTTTATCCAAAGAGCTTGCTGGAAAGAATTTTCTGGCTAAAATAGGAGTCTTGATTTTCATGTTGTGGATATTGGAACAGTAAGTGTATTTTAAAGGTAAATGGAATCTGGCAGAAGACACACTTCTTTGCTACTTCATCCCTATATTGGATGTGTGAAAGGTTTATTTATTGTATGAAATATTTTAAGCTTTGCACTATAGTTAATCTATTAATTTAAACATTGTTCAACACTGTCTTTCTGTCAGTTCATCCGATAAAAGCGTAAAAGTTTGGGAAGCTGGGACGAGAACCTGTGTTCATACTTTCTTGGACCACCAAGATCAGGTATGTCTTATATTGCTTTAACTAGGCCCCTGTGTTCACAGGAGAACTGCAGTTGTGTAGTTGTGCACATCTGTGCATCAGCTTGGTGCTGTAGCCTCAAGGTTGGACTTTAGCTTGCTATAATGAAATCTTAGTTGTTCATGATTATTTGGCACCTAATATTGAACTGATAGACCTGGAGCATAGGTTGATCTTTTCCAAGTAATTAAATTTTTCAGGCCCAAATAAGGGCAGTCCTGGAAGGCCAAAAGGATTCTTACCAGCCTGCATATTTTATCTGTGCTTCTGGTCTTATTTGTATCACCTACACAGTTTGTGCATGTGTAAGGGAGGGGATACTTACTTAAAAGGATGGCATTATCTAAAAAGATGCTTGAAACCACCCTTGAAACTTGGGACTTTTTCCTCCTCAAATATCTGTAATACCCTGATTTTTTTTTGTTTGCTTTTTTTTTTTGCTTAGTGATAGCTACCCATGAGGAATGAGGAAGTTGGGGATTTATGAAGTTAACTCTTTTTCCAGATGCTATGTGTTAAATAGAACAATGCTGTTTTTTGATGGGTCATAGAGGAAGATTTAACAAAGGGAATTCTTTCAGATTTTATTTGGGCCCTTTCTTCCATAGTACTTTTTTTGCTGGAAACCTTTCTCTTCAGTTATCTACGGCTATGGTGTTTTTTTATTATTGAAGAACCGACTGTTGTTTTCCAGTGTTTTATTTCCGGTGTTGTTTTAGGTGTTGTTGCTGAAGTCTGGGGAAGGCAGAGAAGTATCAGCTCTTGGGAAGGCTGGTTTTTTTGTATTAATGCAAAATGGTGTAAGAGACTCCCCAAAACATGCTGTTGTCAGCATACTCATTCTGCAATCCCAGGTTAATATGCTGGGTCGCCTTTGCTCTTTCTGTCATCCTGATGATGGACGGGGGTCACTTAAGTTTGTGTAGCTGTCGTAAGTCAGAGGACTGACCAGAATTTTTCTAAGTAGTTCACTAGGAAGTAAATGGCTCTTAATTATCCCAAGGATAAACCAGATCATTCTTCAGTTTGTAGTATCAGTCTGCATGAAACATACCTCCTCTTTTTCTGAAAGCACTGTAAAAGACTCTTCAGAAAGGAAGACAGAATGGGTAGGAGTAAAAATGGTAGGTTTGATTTATGCAAACTGGGGCAATTACTTTTCAGCCTTTTTCCAAGTATCTAAATCTTCAACCCATTGTCAGTAGAATTAAGAAGTTGTCAGGCTACTAGATGGCAGCTTCCTTCTCTTGTTCATCAGCCTCACCTGCTTGTAGAGCAGAGGCCATAATTGGACCATCTCTAATAAGATGATCTTAAGTGGTCTTCTCTCTTCTGCTTGTTGTAGGAAGTATGACTGCTATGATGACGTTTTCTTAGTCTCCTGTGGCTAACCTTCTGTGTGTCCTATTTGCAGGTTTGGGGAGTGAAATATAACGAAAGTGGATCCAAAATTGTATCTGTTGGAGATGACCAAGAAATTCATATTTATGATTGTCCAGTTTAAATGTCATGACTCAGCCCATTTGGTTAACTCTTGTGACAGTTTTTTGGGAATACTACTGTCCTCCTACGTATTTTTAGTATGATAAAAGCAGGTATGTTTATATGTAATTCTCATTTTGTTTGGCATGAGAGAAAGCTTTACTTTTTTAAAAATAAAAGCTACAGCTACAAGTAACTTGTGTCTAATCTGGAAAAAATATATTTTTAGAAGTGTGTAGTTACAGGTGAGGTAGCTGCTCTGTTAATCTCCCCGGCCTTTATTCATAGACTGGAGCTTGCAGAGTGTTGACCATGTCTCACAGCAGCTTATTTTCGGGAAAGGCGAAGTGGGGGAGGCCATGTTTTGTGGGCAGAGAGAGCCTGTGCTCATCCTCATGCTGGCCCAGAGAGGGCAGCAGAGTCAGTAAAGTTGAACATCTGTTCCAGCCCTTCTTTCGGGGGAAACATAGTAAAATTAAGCCATAATGAATGTGCTAACAGGTGTTGAGTTCTTTCCAGCCCTGACTTAATAACTCTACTAGAAAACAGATAAAAGGAAGAAAAAACTTTAATGTGATCATTCTACAATGGTATCTTGTCATATTCCAGAACAGCAGCAGTATATTCCACACCTGTGCTTTTGGTTTATTCATCAGTTAAGGCACATTCATCATGCACAGAGCATGTGGGAGGAAATAAAAACCTTTTCTAGGGAACACTGAAATAGAGCTCAAGCTTTGTAGGGATTGAAGTTTTATTTGTAAAAGTATTTGCCCATATGTGAAGTAGGTTATGCAGGGTACAGGCTACAGACAGAAGGATATGTTAAAACCCTCAGTTACACTCGCATAGAGCCAAGCAGCAGAAGGAGCTACTCTAATACAACAGAAGAACACAAGGAAGAGTCCTAGTATGGCAGGAGTGGGGCATGCAGAAAATGCTTTTGAAATACAAAGCTGCAGCAATAGTACCTGGTTTGTTAGCAAAATTGAATACAGGGAGTAGATGATAGGCGTCCAAGACTAGAGGAGCTTGTTAAAGGGGGTTCCAGAGTGGCTTAGAAAGTACAAGAGAAGCACAATAAAACATGAAGAGTTCTATTTATTAGAAGTTATTTCTGCTATGTTTTATTCTATGAAATTAATTTTCCAGTATGAAAGTATTTACATAAGACACTCCACTTAGCCTCTATCATATTGCCAAAGTCTTATATAAATAGCATAGGTGAAATAAATTGAGAACCTTCACAGCAAAGGAGAATGTATACCAACTCAGTTGGTTCTCAGCTGTGTGACATTTGCTTTATATATAAAGACTACAAGAACACAATATAAATTAGTTACAAAAAGGTGATACTGACAGCGCAGCAACTCAATTTGCTGAACACAAAATCCACAAGCAGTGGCTATTACAGCCATGCAGTTTTCATTGTGAAAATTTGCATTTTAGATGACATCCACTCCACCTTACTTTAAGATGTCTGACATTGTACTCCTGTTCTTGGACCCTCCTCATCTTCTTCATAGGCTTCTCCCCCACTGTTACGGTAGGTTTGCTCATTTGGATCAAAATCTTCGAGGTCCACCTGATCCATCTCGTCTGTAATCATAACATCTTCTCGTGGAGGAAGCAGAGCCTCCAGCAGACACAGTTTCTCCCTTGGGAGCCAATAGTGCTCTGGGAACTGGACCTACAATTTAGGAAAAAACATAATGAATTGTTACTCCTGATGGAAATATGTCTTTGCTACAGAAAAGCAGTCAACTTACCAAGAACTGTATTATTAAGCTGCCTTTGTCCATTGGAGATTTGTAGACTGGCATTCCTTCATTGTAGATACACTTCAGGTCACCATGTTTTATCACTTCACCTACACAGAAGTAAGAAGAATTCAGTAAGCTTAGTGATGGACATATCATAACTGTAAGAAGCAGGGTTATACAGAAGCAGAGTGCTCAGAGCATCTGAGGGAGACTGCTGTGCAACTTGTAGAAAAGGCTGCAGATTGAGAAGTACTAAATCCAAGCTACACAGAAGTAATGCCATTTAGGCTAATTTCTTCTGCTATAAAACAATGTGCTTCTCTTAGCACAGCCTGCAGGCTGAATTAACAGATCATGTAGCAGAGGTATCTGGCCTCTTGACAATTTTCCTGGCTATTCATCAGCTGAGGCTTGACAACCAACTAAATTAAACTGACTGCAAGTCGAACACCCCCCTCGCCAACCAAACCTAGTCCAGGCACAATGGAATAGGTGAGCAGTTTATATAGCATCAGAACTCTTAAGACCTACCTGGCCTAGATGATATGACAAGAACTCTGTTATCCAGAGTTTCAATTGTCTTTCTGAAACCACACAGAGCCTCCGAGAGTTGAATTCTCATTTTTGTGATCAAGTCATGCCCTCGCCTCTGAAAGACACTGTGATCCTTTTGATCAAGCACAATTATAACATCACCAGGCTCCAGATCAGGCTCTTGGTCACCTTCTCCATGAAATACTATCTTCTGACCATCTTTCATACCTGAAGAAAAGAAACCCGTTTATTCTCTGCAGAACTATAGACTATGATTAGGGACACAGAACAAATTAACAGTTCTTACCTTTATCAACATGAACTTCTATGATCTTTTTCTCTCTCACAACTTTGCAGCCATTGCAGTTGTCACACCTGTCCTTGGGATTTATTCTTTCACCTTGACCTTTGCATTCTGGACACACAGTTTGGATTTGTTGTACCATGCCAGGTCCAATCTGCTGAACAATAACTTGCACTCCTCTTCCTTTACACACAGGGCACTTCTCTACTGCCCCTCTCTTTCCACCATAGCCTTTGGCAAAAAAAAGTTAAATTTTAGTCTCAAAAAAACACAACTCCTCAGTATGTAGTCAGGCTGGAACTCATTGACTCCAAGAGCACCACTAAGGCAGCTTAGAGTGGTTCATTAATATATTTCCCACGTAACTGGAATTTAGTTTCCATCACAAATCATGCCCCACAAGTGAGAAGTTTCTACAAGCAAAAGCAAGCCAAGTTTTCTATGCACGGCTCATTTTATTAGCCTCTGCCCCACCTTCCAATACATCCTGGTTTTCAAGAACTATCATCATACCAATATGCTTCAAAACATTCCATTAATACTTTGGGAAGAATCTGCTTGCTAAATTAATAGAGTACTAAGATACAAGACCTCATTAAGATTTACCCCAAAGACAACCAGTCATTATGGATACTTAACAGCTGCAAAATGAGTTGTGTAATATGAAGCAGACTTCAACCCATAGCAGTTTAAAAGAAGTTTAATCAACAGCCGTTTATTAAAGTACCAGATTAAGATACTTTTAATTTAGGTACCCTTAACTATAATTCACAGCAAGTTAAAGTCAGCCATTACAATGATAACTTTATACTACTGTGCTTAAAGAAGTCTCATTCCTGGGTAAGCATAAATAAGAACTAAATACCCTGGCAGAC